CTTTGACACTGAACTGTACCACAGACATACGCAAACACACCAGAACTTGTTCTACTGCTTTCACTGACCTTCGTTTGACTCTGTGGGTCCTTCAGAATTTTTTTGAGTCATTTTGATACTTTGATTTCTAAAATATCTAAAGATGTGGTAGATCTGGACTGAGGGGAAGGTTCTTATACAAAGGTTAACTAGTATTCATAAAGTGCATTTCTATTTCTGTTTATAAAATGCTATTTCTATTATATAGTCTATTTCTATTTTAGCTTAAAAATGCTGTTTTCTATTTAGTCCGAAATTTTAGGCTGTTCTGATTGGTAGCAGTCAGCACTGGAGAAAATTTGTTGAAGTTAAACTCAATGAGAGCTTGAAAATTTATCTTTTGTAATTCCAAAGCAGTCCCCAAGTAATTTCAAAATCTTGTAAATCCTTCACCTAACATCACTGTTGATGTGGAATATTATTATGGGTACAGACTGTCAAGGCAGCAGAAACTCACTGAATCCCGAAGAGGGTAGTTGTAAAAATAGTTGAAATTGCAGTTTCAGGTAAAAGACCCAAACAATGTTTTTCTTGTCACATGTTCTCTGTTCACTAAATTAAGTACTCTTTGCTTACTGTTTCATATCCTGACAGATTTTTCTCATAATCAGTTGTTTTATTTCCTCAGAAATAAAATTACAGTATGAAATAAAAGCCTGTTCCAAGAATTTGCATTGTATCACAATAGCTGAGACCAACCCTTGCAGGAAGGGCAATATCCCTGTATGCCAGGGTTTGTACAGAATCTGTCTCAGGGCTGAGATTGTTATGGGGTTTTGTGGCAGAGAATCCTCTTACATACTTCACACAGAAATAAAAACAAGTTTGTCTTGTACATACATGTTTTTAATAATTTTTGTAGCTTTTCATAACAAAGCTAATTCCAGGCTTTGGTAAATCCATTAGTCAATTATAAAACTCTGTGTTCAAAATAAAGTCTGTTATTTGCAACCTTGACACTGCAGTCTGTAGCCACTGATAAAATCAAGAGAAAGTGTTTTTCATTTGGTGAAACACAGCTGATAATTTAAATATAATCCTTTGGGTTTTTTTCTGTCTATTGTTTTATGCAATTTTCAGGAATAAATCCTTGTTTCCATGCTGTTACACTAACTGCCTGGCCTTTTCTGCAAGTAACTGCTGGAGATGTTGGTTAAAATAAATTAGCAATATTGCATTGCAAAGTCTACCAACTCATCTGTTTGTTTTTCAATTTAGGTCATAAGCTTCAGCAGTGTCAGTGTATTACTCAGCTGGTTAATCTCAACTGCATGATGTCATATGCTTTAAAAAGTGTGAGTGAATGGGAGATTTTTAATATGTGGTATTTTATGTATTTGATCTGTTTGCAAATATAACTTTAGAAGTAAAGGAAGAACTAATGAAATTTGTCCTATATTCTGCCTTTCATCCAAAGAAGATGGTGTCTTTGACGTGCAGGGTTGCAATGACCACATCAAGGTGATCTTAATGGCTGAATTAAGGAAATCCCTTCAAAAGCAGTAAAACTTACAGGCTTAATGTGGAAGTGAAGGAAAGCATTAGAAAAAAGCAGTATTAAGACAAAGCCAATTAGAGTGGAGAGCACAAACAGAACTGGGTCCAGAGCCCTCTGAGAAGGTATTTCCTGTGGCTTGACAGCCCTGCCTCTTTCAGAAAACTGTTCCGTTCTGTTCCCTTGATGCTGGTGAGTGCCATAAGCAGCACTTGCCATCCCAGGAAGAGTTCACATCTCCTTGTTAACCACAAAGCAGTGGTAGGCACCATAAGGATGGGAGTCACTTTTTTTTTTTCCCCTCCAAGCCAAAGATACTATGCTGAAAAGCTTAAAACAAGCTATTGTAATTTCATGATATTAGTCAGATTTGAGACGTTTCTAGGTCATTCTGCCTGTGGGCAATGTTCAGGTGTTCATCTGGTTTTCAACAGCAGCTTATGTGAATAGCTTTTTCAGCTGTGTTTTTCTTTCTTCATTGTTCAGTGTGTAAATGATCGGGAGGGGAGATGTATGGTAAAGTTTTCATACTCCTGTGACTACAGAATGTGCAGAGGAACACTTTCCACATTAGTATTTTCTGGTTTGTTCCAAGCACTGGCAACTTTCTTAAATGTTAGTAATCTGGAAGGCAGTATTAGTTACTGATGTTTTGCAGAGAGTTTCAGAGCTCACATTTAATTCCATAATTTCTATAACCTTGATGCCACAACAAATAGATATTCCAATGTTAAATACGAAAACGTTAAATCTACAGATCTATGACAAGTAGTGTTCCAAATACTGTATGTTACTGGTATTTAATATCAACCATGAGCATGGTGGTTATTTTAGAGAGGCACATCTTATGTGATGATACACGCTTTATTCACTTCTCGGTAAGACAACAGGAAGAGAACATGCTTTCTGGTGAATATACTGATTCTGTAAGATAAGAACGTAAATGATAAGAAAAACTTGTGCACAGGGTAAAAAGTCTAGAAAACCAGTTTTAGTCTGTGTACATGGAAGATATGGTGGATTTACTATATGTTGTATTTCAAACTAAATTTCAACACTAGTCATTACATTCTGGGTGTCAAATTCCCACCTGCACTTTAAAGGAACTTCAATAATTTTCACTTCCTGCCTTTAGCAGTTGTATGTTCTTGCTCAGTTTACTGTGTTTTGCTGTAGATGCAGTTTCACTGTAGTTTTAAAGTAAAATGATCAGGTTTGGATAATGGATTAATTTGGTGTGTCTTTTTTGATAGAAGAACAGAGTCATTCCTCGTTTTTAAATCAAATATTTTTGTTCATGGAGCAGGTTTAGGGCAGGTAGATCTTCATGAACAAACAGGTATTTGTTGTGTTCCTGGTGGTGTCTAATGTGCAGGGTTTATACCATATACATTGTTGTGTTGACAGTGCCTAAAAATGTTCTCTGCCTTATCTATGATTCTGATGGAAGAAGAATTAAATTCCTTGGAATAGGGATTTTTAGTGAGTACAGTTGCAGTGAAAATACACATTTGTTTGGTATGAGAAAGCAGAAAAGTTATCGTCCAAAGTCTGGGTAAAAAACAGTTTACAAGAAGTGGTTAAAATTTGGCAGTTCATTGTGATTTCTCCTTTGAACTTGCACAGATGTGTGATGCATACTCTAAACAGCTACCTGCAACATCTGACACTTGAGAATGATGCTTAATTAGATGCAGTTCACCTGATGGGCATTGCTTGTGCAATTAGTTGTAATTCAGAGCTGGGCTACTAATTTAGTGACTTTGGTTCATGTTTAATGTGTTTTGTTTCTGTTTTCTAAGCCCAGAGCCCTGCAGACAGGTTTATGCAACTGAGGCTTTCAAGTTATTTAATACTTGAAAATATTAAATACTTTGCTTCTCAGGTAATATTTAAAGAAATTAAATAACAATTGCATCTTATCTAAAATGCCTGGAAATATAATGTATTTGTGCATTAAATATATATTAGCTTAAAATGAAACTGGCTTTTCAACATTTTTGTGTGTAAAAGGAAGAAATTCCTCACCTATTGTGAATCACTGTTAACCAGAACTGTTTAGCTTAGTTTTTTTTTTTAAAATGTGTTGAGATCTTCAAGTGAAAATCAGTGTGAGTGGAAAATGTTACTGCTCGAAGGATAATTTGAAATAAATTTTGACCACTGTCCATTGTTTCTTGTTTTTATCACAACTGTTCCCAGTATATCTTGAAATTTTGAATGTCTTAGATGTGAGGAGCATTGACATTGCTCAGTCAGGGCCCCACTTGCTCATCACTGTTCCGGATGAGGAAGATTATATATCTATACATCTCGGATTCTTACAGTGTTGTGCAAGGAACCAGTTCTTTGTTTGCAAAGAAGACCTATCTTCTGCTTAAGAGCAGCTACAAAGATAACTAGACTGCAACCCCAAGCTTCCCTTCTTGTTCTTGTTCAAAGCTAGTTTTATGAGGCAGCTGGGCAGGTTCAGCCTCACAATTCAATGGCTTGCAGCCCCAAATGGATGTGATAATGGAGCGTGGATTGTCTCTTCCCTTTCTGGAAGAAATCTTGCAGAATCTGTGGATCTGGCTTGTTAAATGGCTATTTAAGGAAGGTGGGAAGACTGGACTAGGTGTTTATAAATAAACTACAGGATCCTAAGTTGTTTTGGGAGTCCATGCACAAGAAGACCTAAAGTGCAAAATTTTCATTAATTCCTTTGATACAGTGGCTGCAATAATTTGCTTTAACAGAAGTTCTAACACAAAAGAATGGGAACTTGTAAGTCTACAGCACAGCATACTTTCATTTCATGAACTGTGGTAGGTTAAGAATTATATTTAACTGTGAAACTTCCTACATGCAGCAGGTGGCATGCAGATGAGCAATGCAGAAACACTCCACAAATCTCAAGTTACATGAGCAATAACATGGGACTTGGTAAATGGAAATGGGTGGGTGGGTCTTAGGATTTATGGGATCATCTTTAGGTAGGAAGAGTAGATGTTAAATTAACATGTGTTTTCTGCTTTGTGTGATGAAACGGCTTGGACTTAGCTTCACTGGTCCTGTTTCTGTGATGTCCATTTAATAAAATTACATGCAATAACCAGGCTCAAAAGCTGCTTGTGCTGTAGGAATGACAGCAGACACCAACTGCTCTGTACCCATATGCATCAATATGCTATGTGTTTGTGTTCCCAGTGGCAGAATGATTAGAACTCGAATTGAGGTTTGAACCTGTAGCTAACTGCTTTCTATGTCTATGAATGTGTTAATGCTTGCAGACCCTAAACAGTTCCATAATGTTAACAGCAAAAAATACGTAAGTCACTGAATTCAAAGGGAAAAAGTTGTCCAGTCTGTATGATTGAAAAGAAGTGATGTCTAGACAATGTAAGTATGACAGTTAGAACTCTGTAATAAATAATTACATTCAGCATATGTTTGTTTGTTCGTTTGTTTGTTTTTCCCAGAACACCAGCTCAGTAACTCTACCAGAAACATTGTTGTTTGTTTCAACCCTTGATGGAAGTTTGCATGCTGTCAGCAAGCGGACAGGAGCAATCAAGTGGACTTTAAAAGAAGGTGAGCAGGAGGTGTCCTGATAACCTGTACTCAGTAAGAACACTAAAATCAATTGATAAATCAAACTGTTGTAGGGCCTGGTAAGTACTTTCTTTTCTTTCCTATTTTTGCTCTTGTTCCAGAATTAAGGTACAGTGTTTCTGGAGTCACGTTCGTCTTCATATTTTCACTTGCAGGTTTTCCCCAGGTTTGTGGTTGGGTGGTTCTTGCCAGAATGTTTAAGATGTAGTGGTACATTGGTAGGTATCGAGCTTTATGGGCATGAGTGCACTATAATCAAGTATAAACAGAATAGATGTCAAATGAGAATGTCAGCTGGTGCAGCTGGTGGCAAAAGGCTTGCATGATTGTGTCTCTGGAATACCCTACATTCACAGGTACAGTGGATATCATGCAAACCTCGGGTCTTCTTTTCTATAATAGACATTTAGGAACAGCACAACCTTTTAAATGAAAGAACTGTACTTGTGTAAAAAAATTTAACATTGCTCAGTGACTGGAAATGATTTTGTAATTGTAGCTACTGAGCAGAGAGCGCTCTTTCTGTCTTCATGAAAAAAATCAATATTTAATACAAATTTGTTTTAGTGGGGCTGTGATTACATATGGTGGAAGTGATAGTAGCACTTTCTCGTCACTTCTGGAAATAAACTAGAAAGCAGGTCAAATGGGAGGGAGTCACAGTGATTGCATCATTTTGTCCTCTATTTTTAAACCTGCTGTCAGTTTAATAGGTGAGCTGAAATGGTAGGAAATGGATTGTGCATATCCATACATGTCTGCAGTACAAACCAGTTCTTATTTGTGAAGCCATTCATGTTTGAATACAAATCTACCAGGCATAAAGTTAACTTCATAAATGAGCAAAGAATGCTTTTTTTTTTTTTTTTTTTTTTTTAGCTCCTCTTGGAGTAAAAAGGGATGAACGAGTATTTTCTCAAAGGATCTTGGTTGTGTAACTGTCTCCTCTCTCTCCTCTTTAAATTTAGACCTCTCTGAATAGGTTTGAATAAAATAAATTATCAGCCTCCTCCTTCATTGTTGCTATAGACTACCACGGTGTTGAAAGAAGCTTTCTGGTTTTTGCCTGTCATTCAACTGACATGAACATACACTGCTTAGTCCTATCCTAGAAGGATATAATAACAGGCTTTTGCTTGCAGCCAGACTTAGTAACTGGCAGTAGGTTTTTTGAGGAAGAAGGGAGCACACTTTGGCAATGAAGGGTCTTGGTCAGAGTGTATTGCTCAAGGAACTTCCCTTGTTTAAAAAAAAGTTGTTGCAAAACTATTGTTGGTACAGTAGAACTGCCAGACTGGACAGTCTAGTTTTATAAGACTAATTTATTCTCTGTTGCTAAATGTGTGTTACTCTCTATCTTATGTACGTGAGGTATGTTCACTTGCTTTTTGTAAAGCAGTTACTGTCCATTAGTTTATTTCTCTGTAATAGAACACACATGGGTCAATGTAAAAAAAAAAAGTGCTAGTTATCATTGTTACAGAATGCTTCAGGAGTTGACTTAGTTCCTTGTCCATGGGACAAGGGCCTCTACGTATGAATTGCTGAATTAATTTGTAATTGGAGGGGATTTATTTAGCTTTGCAAAACTGTGGTGTTTGGTGGGAAGCCCAATAAAGATATGACAGTGCTGGAAACTAACAGCCCATGTCAGTCCTTATCATCTTGTTGTGCCAAGTCCCTGGAGAGATTTAATAGTGCAGAATTCACTATTAATGTTAGTATTTAAACGCAGTTGTGCACTCTTGCTGTCAACAATATGCTTGTATTGCTACAGAGAATTACCCAGTGGGAAGTTGTAAGCAATGTTCTTGCAGGTGCCATTTTACCTTGGTTGTCAACCAGTGAACCATGTGTTGTAGTTCATGTGCTTTGAGAAGCTGCGGAGGTCACCTGGAGTGCTGCAGTAGCATTCATCAGGAAGGGAGGGTTTTATTACTGCACTTAAGCAGCAAGGTATTTAAAAAAGGACAATCCATATGCATTTTATTTTCACTGGGAAAAAATCCCAAGGCAGTGTTAGTTATCAGGCAGTACTTAACCAAACATGAAAATCTTGCCATGTGTGGTTTGTTTTAATTTGGTACTGAAGCTTACCTTAGGTATGCAGAGGTAAATGAGCCAGTGGTTGTCACCACAATAGTATGTTTGGGTTTCCTGCCTTCATGTAGCATTGACAGGAAAGGCAGTCTGAATACTCGTAAAGTAAGCAAAAAAATGGGTCAGTTAGTAACAGGACTCTCCAGGAGTTTAGAAATAAAGCTGCATTCCCTGCAGTTACATGTACTGAGATTGTTGACTTACTTGTTGAGGGTGCTTAATACCTTAATTTCCTGTTGGCTTCAATGGATCCTACTGTTTGACAGCTCTTGGGATTTTTCCAGTAGCCAGGTGACTGATGCTGCTCACTCCCTGGGCCTTGGAAAGCTGGAATGGGGTTGAAAAATATAGATATAGAAAGTTGCCACTTGTCCTCCCCCCAGATTTCTGAGAGGAACCTCTGTTCCTGCTGTGGCCCCATGAGACCACAATGTATTGAAAGGCATTCATTTGAAAGAACACTGGAAAGGTGTGGCACATATTTAAGACTAAATAAGGCTCAAAAGTGCCATCTCTGATCAATAAAGGAGCTGTTAATTCCAAATGACAGTTCGAGAGGCTCCCTTGTTTTCTGCACTTGCCACTAGCAAGACATGTAGTGAGCATCTTCAGTAAGATTACTCGGGATGAAATCTCTTCCTCAGAATTGCTGGAAATGAAATTTCCTTTGTAATTTCATATAGGCCTGTTTGTAAAGTGCAGGGCACAGCACTTTAGGTTTGCTTTTACATACAGGTAAGAAAGTAGACAGTGATAGAAATGGTGATGAGAAACCTGTTAGCAAGGCCGAATGTGGAGAATGCTCTTCTTAATGTTAAACTTTGTATCTGTAATTCTGATTTCAGTGTGAGCTTTAAGAATGTGATTTGAAGTCTGTCCTGTTCTTCACATCTTTGTAAAACTCATCCTGTACGTCTTTGTTAACTCAAGAGCTTGGGTTAATGAGCAGAATGTTCAGCTTTGAGAGGTTAAGAATGTAATGTTTCAAAACTACTGTTGGACAAAATATTTGTGTTCTTCTGCAGTCACTTCTGTGTGTCCTTCTGTGCTGTTCCAAGTGATCGTTCTTTTTGTTAACAAGCTCCTTAAAAGCTTTCCCCCCAAGAACTAATTCAAAGTAATTTGTCAGAAGAACGTATAATATAGACAGATATGGGTCTAGATTTAGAGCCAGCAGATTTTTTGTTGTGATCTTCGGTTCTCTGTAGCAATCAAAAACCCAATGGCCCACAATCAATTTAAAACATTTTGAATTCTAATACCTTACTCATAACCTATAGACTTCAATGGTCTAGTCATGATAACAAAAAGATATAAAGACTGTATCTACTAATGGTATGCAATATGTGGAATTTCAAGGGCAAATCTGAGATCTGTAGGTCCTGCTCTAATAAAGGGGTTATTCAAAGGCAAGAAGAAATATCTTCTTGTGTAGCTGTGAATTAATAAGGATTGTTAAAACAAAGCAATTGTAGACCAGTACTCTTTTCAGCAAATTCTATAGGATAGTTTGTTAGTATCTCCAACCTCATTTACTGTAACTGTAACAGAAGGCAAGGATGACATGATCTTCAACTGGCCCGTTAGCCCAAATCTGATGGTGGGGCCTCAGGTCAGGAAACCGTTTTTTCCATCTTGTTCCAGTGGGGCAGCAACTTACTCATTTGCTGTTTCAGAATCCCCCACTTCTCCTTTTCAGTCATTGGTTCTACCTAAGGACATATTACAGCAATGAAAATATGTAACTCTATCTCCTGCATTAGAAAAGACTTGGGGCTTGGTCAAAGGGCAAATTTTATCTTATCGTGTGTTTGAGAAATATGGAGAAAAGTCAAACGCATTATATTTAGCTTCATGGTTATAGTTTCAAAAATTGTATATATATGGCTTTTTTATATATATGTATGCAAAACATGGGTTAGATTTATTTCAGAATAACCTGAAACTTGTATACTTCTGCCCACTCACAAGCAAATGATAGAGGCATAAATATTTTCTGGCCATGATGCAACCAAAACTGTACTGGGACATCTGCCTGCTGCCAGGTCAAACGGGAATTTCAAGGAAACAACTGTGCCAAGTAATTTACGAAATGACTGGACAAACATTATGTTAACAGATTTCTAAAAGCTGTTGTACTTGTGGGTAAACTCTTGGAGGTCTAGAATAAATCTTTACAATCTAGGGTCAATGCCCTTTTAATTCTTTTTTTTTTCTCGATATAGTTATTTTACAGATTTTTTTATTAACTGAAAGCCTTTCAGTTCTCATAGGATAAAGTTTTTGAAGTCCCACAATGACATGGAGAGGTATCAGCACTCTTTTTAATGGTGTTTCTATTCTTCTGATGCCCTTGAACTTCCTGTGCTTGTGGGCATTAATGTACTTTGCTGAATTAATTGAATGAAGAGCATCAGTGACAATAACATTACTCAGTGTGTGTGCACGTGCTTGTTTATGTACAGGTGTGTATTGCCAGATCAAAAAGCTAAAGCTAGTGTGCATTGAATTACAGGATTTTAATGTAGGAATCATTAACATAATCTGCCTTAGTGGAGGCTGTGGGGAAAACAAATTGGAAATCCATGGGAATATTTATAGAAAACTTGGTCTTCCCTCCAGCACTGGAGGTATTTACAGGATGGTGTCCTGCTTGCAGACTCATCCTCCCACATACTCCATAGTTTTTTTTTTTTCATACCTTTTCCTAGTCTAGAAAGTGGAAAGTTTTTGGACAGGATATCATATCAAAAGCTTTATGTAGGACATTGTAAGAAGCTGGCTTTTTCCTCTGCTACAGCTAATGGAAGATTAAGGGAGAGGCGTATGTATTTTTACCACTTTTTCTCTGTAAGGTTTTTGTTCTGATACAGAATACTTACTGCTTTGTTCAGTGGTTATTATCAGTGTTGGTATTGGAACAGATTGGGCCTATTAGAATGACGTACTTAATTACAGGGAACTGCAGTTCAGGGAAGTTTTGAAAGCAGGATTAGTGTTTCCAGTCTCGGCATGTTACCACTGGAGTGCTGAGCTGCTGGAGATAAGGCCTCAGCTCTGACTTTTGCAAGAGCTTTTCCGTTTGGCCCATTGTGCAGCAAGAGGTGACTTCAGTTATAAGATGACTGATTCTTTTACTAGTCTGTAATCATGCGTATGAAAACTATTGTAAGACTGGACAACAATAAATTAAACTGAAGATTCTCTTTTTATCTCAAAGTGAGTTCTTATTTCAAAACAAACTTTGAAATAAAGTTGGATTATGTCCCAAACCACATCAAAGTGAATGTGAAGAGTTCACTGTTTGTCTTCAAAGTGTCTTTGCAGAACTAGAAGTTTAGTTCAAGATCATGAAAGTGGTAAGAAAATGAGAAAATCTACATCACCCCAGTAGCTAAAACTGTAGAGAAATGGCTTTCCACAGCCTGGTGTTCCAGGTGGATGGTGCTAGTAATGAAAGCAGAATTCCTTTCATTTCAGAAAATAAACTTCTCTGTCAGCTTGTGTTCACTCCATTGTGAATAGCCTCATGCGTGGAAATGAATCAGATATTGATACTAAATGCTTTCTAACAGCTCATATACAACACTTCAGTGTTTCAGGAAGCCATCAAAATAATCAGTGTTTCAGTTCATGTGCCAGTAAGTACTAAAAAAATTTCCTGCAGCTTTGTAACAACCTTTTAATCTGTTCCATCTGCCTATTTTTTATCTTTGTTAGTAAATCAAATTTCACTTACTGAGAAAACAAGTAAAAGCAGGGCATTTTTTTCATTTCTGATGAAGTCCTATTTTTCTTGATAGTGAAGACTTGATACTGCGCAAATGTTGAAGGGCTTTCTCATGAGCATGATGCTTCTGTACAGCACACGCTGAACAGCTTGGAACTTGTCATAAGGCTTTCATTCATGTCTTATGACATGCAAGAGTGCTTCAGAAGTCGAAGAGACATGCATGAGATTTTCAGCATTGTTTATTGAAGCGTAGGATACAAGTGTTGATGAAGTTGTTATAAGTTGGTGGTGGTGTTTTGTTTTTTTTAAGTAGATTGCTCAGTCTTAGGAGGAGAAAAATTGCTCAAGATAGGTATTCTTGCCATCTGTCTTCTATGACTGTCAGTGCCTAGGACTACCAGCTAAATTATCTTGGCATTTTTGCTGCCTGTGTGTAAAGCTCTGAGTATAAGGTAGCATGATTAGGCTGTGTCTGGTGTGCAGGGAGTTTCTGCCCGCAGCTGGCACTCAGCTCTGCAGGGTCTCTGTGTTAGAGGAAAGTTGCTGTGGTGTGGAGGGAGACTGGTGTTTGACACTCCCAGTGTGGCAGATGCCAGTGCAGTGGTAGATAACCATGTGATGAGGAAAATAGATAAAGCAGGAACTTGACATGTCTGCTCCCTGAGCAGTGAGTTTACTAGGCATAGTATGATTCAGTGCTTGAGTAGATCACTCTCCCTCTCCAGTTAGTTGGGTTGTGAAGCTTAATATGCTTTTTAATAGGTTATTCTAACAGCTTTGAGGATGTATGTGGAACATTTTTAGGCTTAAAAAGAAAGAAAGCTTTGAACAAAGCTGGTCAGAGAGTAGTTACTATTATAAAAAGAGATGAATGAAAATAAAAATAGCTTTACTGTTATTCCTCATATTGTGCTTGCTTTCTGTCTCTGATACTATATGTGCATCTTTTGGTGACTGCTGGTTTTGGGTGCATTGTGGTTAGAGATCTCACTGGGTAGGGGTTTCTTATGTCTTGTTTTAATCTGTTATGTAAAATGAAGGGACGTCCTCCCAGGCCATTACCATCAAACTCAGCAGTTCGTGTGGTGCAATGTACTGCAGAGTGGTAGAGGCTTTGTAAGACCCGTGGAACAAACCCTGAATTTCTTGTTCTTGTCTTGCTTAGCTCTGCAAATATCACAGTACACTCAAGCTGTCCAGAATCTGTGCCAGTTTCCCAATCAAAGGCTCTCAAATCAACGTTGTTTTGTTCTTATTTCCTTCCTGTTGGCTCATGATGTTTGCACAGAGAAGGAACAGGTGTAAAAACAGTGTTTATTTGCTTGGTCATCTCTCATCATCTTAGTGGGGCTTATTCTAGTGTAATGGTTTGATTTGTCCTGCAGAACTAAAGGTATCTTGCATCCTCTCCAAGTTACTTTCTGACAATGTAGCCATAAAGCAGCACACAGGTTTGTCTCGGAAATTGTAGAGTATGTCTTACAAATCTGGGAACCTCAGATAGTAATTTTGAGGTTACATCACCTTACGTTGTTCTTATCTTTTAATATGTAAGGATTTAGATTTATCATTGTCAGGTTTTATTTCATAACTTTTTTGTTGATGAAAGCTAAACTGTGATTCTGATCACTTGAAATACCAACTACTGTGAGATTGTTTCCAAACCTTTTGATTTCTATGTAATGTGGATTCTTGGATAAAATTATTGGAGAGGTTATTTAAGTGAAAAAGATCAGGTTTTGGGTCATTTTGTATAGCCCTTGGCAGACTTCTGGTTTTCTTTTTGCTTTTATGTTGATCACAGAGGTTTTATCTGTTTTTGTTGTTTTTCTGACTGGCTTTGGAGTCTTTCTCTTAGGTCATTGACAATCTTCTGATTGATTTCAGTAGGGGTAGCACTAGGCTTTCAGTTGCATGTTGTATCTTAAATTACATGCTGAGCTGGCTAGAAAGCACATGGTTACCTGCCTGATACACAGGGTACTTGAGACAAAAAGTAGCAGAAGTTCATAAAATAAATATTAAAAAGTATCAAGATACAGACTTCTGTATCCCTGTTCTCACAGTGTCTGCAGACTTCCAGTGGCTGTAGCTTGGGTTTAAGTAAAATTGGTTATGAAGCCTGCCCAGTGAAAGCAGCTCCTGGGTAGGCAGTGCCCAGCGATCACACACATGTGTTGGAGGAATACATGTACAGTCAGTTCTAACAGATGCTGTATACTCTGTATGACTTAGAAGTAAGGAGAAAACTCAAGGTACAATACAGTACTGCTACAGTACAGCCTTCTTGAAGTCTCCTCCCAGGGGTAGCTGGGGAGTTAGTGTGAATAAAACTGAGTAAGGAACTTTGGAAGGTTTAAAACTTCTTGGGTGCTTTGTACTTTGCCATGTTACAAACCCAGTTGCCTGATCAAAGGGGGGACTGCTGAGGCTGCTGAGATGGCCACATTCAAACTCCATGCATCAGCCTCAAACATGAACAAGTTGTTGCAGGCCTGTCTTGATCCTGTATCTGGTGAACTCAAGAAACTAAATTGTCAGTATTATGACTTTTTTTTTTTTTTTGTCTTCTGTTTATGCAGATCCTGTACTCCAGGTGCCAATACATGTGGAAGAGTAAGTCTGTTGCTTTATCTCATTTATTGCTTGATCAGTTATCAATGACATCTTGGAATTGGTTTCATTTGAACCAAAACTACCTATATTCTAGAAAAGTTGCGTACTTTACAACAGTCAGCTTAAGGTGGTTTAGAGAGCTGATACAGAAAGGATGCAATTAGCTACATATAATTCTGTTATTTGTAGGGTTAAAAAGAAACATCCTTTCTGCAGACTGTGGTCTCAAGCCCTTGCTCTGGTTCTGAGATCCAGGGTGCTAACTGTGCCACAGTCTTAACTGAACATCTTTGAAAATGACAGAAACAGCTCGGGAGTGATTTGTGCTCATTCCTTCAAATAAAAAACTAGCAATAGTGAAGCATAGGAAACTCCAGCAACCACCAGAATCTTCAAATGAAACCCCTGAGCTGTTACTTCAGAGTAGCTCCTCCAGCATACCAATCTCACGTTTAACTAGAAAATGTGGGGCTTTAACTTTGTCTCTGTAGTCAGTGGTAACATCCTTTTCTTTTTTGTGGTTTGTTTTTGATGTTGAGGGTTGGGTTTGGAGTGTGTTTTCTGTAGTTTGGGTGGGTGGGGATTCCTTCTCTAAGTTACATGGTTCTGGCAGCTCTTTTACTGTTCCTTGCCTGCCTTATGCTGGGTTTGTTTGTTTGCTTTGGTTTTGATTCTGTGGCATTTTAAAAGCATACAGATCTTCTTCAAAAGCCTTCACCCCAGTGGTTGCCTGCCACGTTGGATCTTTACCGTTTCAACTGTATCAGTAACCAGTTACTTAGTTTCAGAACTGATACATTGTTTCATTTTCACAGTTAATAAATGAAACTTCCAAAAATGGATAGCACAAGGTGGGGAAAAAAAAGTCTTGTCAGATGAACTTCTCTGTGCAGCCAGTTCTAACCGTAGGTGCTTTCCTGTTCTGAGAAGCGCAGTACTTTATCATTTGCAATCCCTGCTTAAATCCTAGGCCAGCATTTCTTCCTGACCCAAATGATGGCAGTTTGTACACACTTGGTGGCAAGAATAATGAAGGCTTGACTGTAAGTATATTTTTGTCTCCTCTGGTAATTTTTAGAAAAGTGTCCCAGTCACACTCACACGATGGATACTCCCTGAGGGAACTTTCTGCTTTCTTGACAGTACTGGAAAGTTTTGCAGGATTTGTACCAGTTTCTTGGAAAAACTTGGTCAGACTGGCCAAAACGCAGCATGCTCTGCCTGTGCCAGTGTTAGGATACAAGTTTTTGGAATGAGAGTGCCCTGTGTTGTGTTGCTAGCACCTCTGCAGGGTGAAAACATACTTCATTAGAGCAGAAAGTTGTCACCTTTCTTGTGATCATCAGGAAATAAATTCAGCTTGAGAATATCAACACCACACGTGTGTTCTCTGCTTGTACTATTTTCTGTAGCTTGCTAAAATAATGATGATGATAAATAAAACTTATGCAGTATTACCTAAATACTGAATACTCTCTCTATGCTTTGATGGGAAAAGTGCACGCAGAATAATACAAATCATATATGTCATTTTCACCCAAATGCTTAATTCTCTAAACCCATCTGCCAAAAGGCAGGGTCAGTGTATGTGCTGTGCTGACACCTTTAGGTATCTTTATAAGATTTAACAAGCAGACAAAAATGCTGAACCCTTTCAAAAGAGTCACCAGTCCATGTAACCCACAGATAGTAGCTCACTTTTTGACTTCATTTAAACTTTGTGGAGATACTGGGATAAAATATTTGGCTTCCAACAAGTCTCTTCTCTGGCAGCTGATATTTATGATTTCCCGTAAGAACTTAATATGAAGTATTTTAGTGTTTGCTCAACCACTCCTCTTATCTCTGGGTTTGCAAAGCAGGGCCTTGACTTGAAATTCTGCATTCTCAGGCACTGCAATAAGACAAACAATAAAAACCTGTCATTTGAGATTTCTGAAGTTTTCTGACCATCCTTTTCTGTGAGCAAATATGATGACTATCACAGCAATGTAAATAAGCTTTTATTGTGGTTGGTGGTTGTTTGTTATTTCTTTTTCCCCTAGAAACTTCCATTTACTATCCCAGAGCTGGTGCAGGCATCTCCCTGTCGCAGTTCAGATGGGATTCTGTATATGGGTGAGCTCAAATTTTATCTCTTTTAGAATCCAAGATGTTCAGTGACTACAAAATGTAGATTCCCAGAAAGACTGCATGAAAAATGCTTTATTTTGGGCATTAATTATGTTTTTTCATGAACCTTTCTAATGACGAAAATATGATTAATATTCCATTACTGTTTGAAGATCAAAAACCAACTACTTTTCCTGAAGGAGAAAATAGCTTTACTAAGCAGTGAATAGCCTGTAAGGTGTTTTTTTGTGTCCTGAGATGCTATCTCTCATCAAAATGTGACTTCTAATTAAGATCATCTTATGCTTATAAATATGATTGACTGCCTGACAATTATAATTAAATTAGAAATTCCATTGCAACACAGTTACACATCCTCCATTATCTGAGATACAGTCAGTTCAATTACACTACAAATAGTAACAAATTTATGGCTCATTGTCCTGACTAATTCTAATTGCAGATGGATTTGGGAGGAGAAAGGGAGAAGGAAGGACAGTTATTGCTTATCAGAAGAGTAAAATGTGTGAAGGATCAGGATGAACTCAGTATTGTTTTTTCTAATCCGAAAGGCCAGTGCCTTTTTCTGGTTCTCCACTTTGTCTCCCCAGTAAAGGAGTGAAAAGTGTTTATTTGAAGCTTCTAAACACAACGCATGTGTTTTAGTATCGGAGAAATATTTAAGGTCATGTGTCATGTAGTCTTGAATGGGATGTAAGGGTTACAATCCTTAACTAACTTGAAATGTGTAGAGCCTCTTAATTCTTTCCACCAACTGTCCTTCAACACTAGCACTTCAGTCTCCTCTGCTAGCTCACGGGATCTTCTGCACTCAGAACTCTGTCAGAGTTTATCAGTTTGAAGAAATAATGCAGCCAGTAGTCCTTGCTGTTCTAAACACTGTATTTAGGTTTTCTTGTCAATATTTGGGATTGGCCAGTAGTGCTGAGTGATGAAACTAACCCTGGCTATGAGAATTGTTTTATTAAAAACGCTATATTCATGCTAAGTTTGTGAGCCCAGTAAAGAAAAAAGAAGTCTGGAAAACTTGGTGGAAGTGCAGTTTTTCCAACTGAATGGTAATGTGGCTGGAACTCTGATTCTAGGTAAAAAGCAGGATATTTGGTACGTGATTGACCTTATGACTGGGGAGAAACAACAAACCTTGACTTCTTCATTTGCAGAAAGTCTTTGCCCATCAACATCCCTCCTGTATCTTGGGAGAACAGGTCATATGCTTTTTTATTCTACAACTTAGAATAAAATGTGGTGTTGTCATTGTAGTTAAAGTGTAGGCTCATAACAAATAACCTTGTGACCATGTCAGTTTTTCAAGTTTATTTTTTAAGAGAAGTTTTGTAATTTACAGTTTTATGCTGCACACAGAAGAATTATTAACTCTCCATAGCAGCAGAAAGATGCCGGATCTCTTAAACTTTGTCAGGTGGCATGATCCATGATTCTTCTTGTAGCTTAAGTGGCATTTATATTCTCTTTAACAGTGCATTCCAGTAGCAGTTGGGAACCCAAGTTTGCTCTGTAACATACAGCTTTTATAAAAACCATTTAAAGAAAATGGAGATCCAGCATATCCACTGAAACTTCTAATGCACTGTTCTACATAACTTAAAATTAGACCAACAACACCATGTAGGTGTTGACTAGTAAAAAAGAGGAGATGTTACAGACTTGTTCTTTAACCTCTATATTAATGTGTTCTTTAAGTGTGATAGCTCAGTTACACAACATGGTATATTGAATTTTTAGAATGCAGGGTTTGGAAATGTGTGAGTAAAACAAAGTACATCAGAAGAAGCTGTGCAGTAAAACCAAATGCTGGTAACTTGGGCAGTAACTGTCTGGGGGGCTTGTTCTGGGGTTGCTATAGATAAATATAAGTGGATTGTGTGTTGTTGCCTTTAAGAGCTGTGAAATGTGTTTATGTGTTGGGAAGACGAAATGCAGAGAGCAGGAAGTGGTATGTGTGGTGTTCTGAAGAGTGTCTCAGATTTGAGATGATTGATTCTATTCTCTCATAGGTTTTTTTGCTTCACAGACTGTATATTTTTTAACAGAGTACACGATCACAATGTATGACACCAAGAAGAAGGAGCTGCGATGGAATGCCACCTATTTTGATTATGCAGCTACTCTGCCTGATGAAGACATAAAATACAGTAAGAATTTAATTGCTGTCCTTCCACAGACACACATACTGGCTCTGGGGTTCACATACAGGCAAAAATAGTGATTTTTTTTTTCCCCTATAATTAATAGGTCAAGCTGTCTGTCTGATTTTTGTGCAGTTGATATGCATCTGCCAGGTTTTATCCTTCACATGCCATAATATCTAGGGCCTGTTGCGTAGCTTGAGATAAACTGAATCTATGATGATACAGCTCTTGAAGATACAACTCTTTATAATATAGTGAGAAGTAGCAGGAGAGGAAACAAACCTAAACTGTGGTGCACACTTGGGAACAGCTATTACAATGCTGTTGCGCTGTATGGAGATGCTGCTGCATTGCAACTGGACTTTTATCAGCCTAATTCTGATGGCTGATCACTGATTTTGCAATGTAAAGTGAAATGAACTCACAGTTAAAGTAAGGCTTGAAATGTTACTATGTATTATTAACACTGCATGTCTGCAGCAATCCACATAATCTCCTGTATCTTTTTATATCATAGAAATGTCGCACTTTGTGTCTAATGGAGATGGGCTGGTGGTGACCGTAGACAGTGAGTCTGGGGACGTACTGTGGATTCAGAATTATGCTTCTCCTGTGGTAGCTTTTTACATCTGGCAACGTGAAGGATTACGCAAAGTTATGCACACTAACGTGGGGATAGAAACGCTGCGGTACCTGACGTTCATGTCTGGGGAGGTTGGACACATTACCAAGTGGAAATATCCTTTCCCAAAGGAAACGGAGACCAAGAGCAAACTGACGTGAGCATGAATATTCCTCTTGTTCTCACTGTCTATTTGCATGAGCTTTGTCATTAAAACCTTATTTATACACCTGCAGTTAAGGATTATTCTTCAGGTTTGAAAATGGTGAAAAGAATACATAAAAGCCGATGTAATAGTTCTCCAGCTGTTATTTTCTATCATATTTGATCTTCTACTGCTAAAATCAGAGACCAAAAAACCCCACCTATCATAAACTTAGGAAAGATACGTTCATAACTTCTAGTAGATGTTCTGTGTTGAACAGTTTCTTATAATGTGGAACAGAATTGTTTTTTTATAATGCAAAGCCCTTCAGGTTATAAGAAATGTGCACAGCATTTTGGCAAGTATCAGTGATTGAATAATGCAGAAGTAGGACTTGAGTTACGTCAAATGACTAATTGTGATGTGAATAATCAACTAACACCACATTCATAATAACAAGAATGGCTTCATGGTGCAGCAGTACTTAAAACAATTTTACAGATCCAGGCTTTTCAAGTTATAAACATTGATGATTTGAGAAACTCCTGCATTTGTTCTGTAGGATTGTGTTGCTGAGGTTTTAGCTAGGATGGTAAAACATCCGTTTGTCTACTTCTTTTTAACACTTGCTGGTTTTTTACAGACCAACTCTATACGTAGGGAAATACTCCACAAGTTTGTATGCATCGCCATCAATGGTGCATGAAGGAGTAACCGTTGTGGTAAGTTGGGAGCTGCAAGAGTTGAATGACACCTGCTGAAAAGTGCCTTTACAGAGTTAGTGCTGTCCTGGCTTTAAAAAAATAGTTGAAATGGAAACATACGTAAAAATATAATAACAAAAGACAACTTTACCATAATAAAATACGATTAAAATAGAAGATAAACCACTGGAGGCTGTACATCTACAAGAAATTTGGTCTTAAATTGCAGATTGCTATCAAGAAATGCATAGAGAATTCAATGTTTCATGAAACAACAGTAAGCCTTAGAATGCATGCCCATGTTTCAGGGATCATTTCAAATGTTGCAATGCAGAGAAGAAACTGCAGCTCACCAGGACTTGTGCCAGGCAAGTCTAGCAGGAGTGGAGCAGAGGTTGCCATGTGATACTGTTGGTGTGTTGTGGTTAATGTTAAAATTGCTGGGTTTTTTACCAGTAACTCCCCATAGAAAGGAAACTGCATCATAGTTTTGTTTTGCTCACACCATGGCTGCCTAGGTAGGAAATAAAGATCCTTTTTAACTTGTCAAACAAGAGAGAGAGTAATCTCATCTCCTAGGCAACATGTAACTTAGAAGGTCTAACGTCCAAGGCTGTAGGAGCTTGACCTCCTTTTTTTATTTAGTTGCCTATTTAAATATTGTAGGGACGTGGTGCTTCCGTGATTGTAACACCAATCTCTCTTTCTAGCCCCGTGGCAGTGCCATACCCTTGCTAGAAGGTCCAAAACCAGAAGGAGTCACAATTGAAGACAACGGGGAGTGTGTTATCACCCCCAGTACAGATGTGAAGCTTTCAGGCAGGCTGAAAGGAAAGAACAAACTCCACTATTGGAATGACTGGCTGCTAATAGGTACCTCAGTCCTTTGATTTGTGTTGCTGTCTGGCAGATGTTCTAATCCAAACCTCAGAGCTGGATTTCAGCTGCTTTAAATCAGTCACAATGACTGCCAGAACTCAGGCAATAATTACTGAATTCTGGTAATCGTTTCTAATTTGTCTTCATTTGCATATGAATTCATGTCTTCAAGTATACACTTGTTTTTTCCAAGGCCCCAGCTTTATTCAGTGCATAGGATGAAGAGTGCTTAGCTCAATATGTGGAACATTATTTATTGTTTATTTGCCCCCTCCTTCAGTGAGGTAACTTATTATTTACTGTAAATATGGTATTCTGGTTCCTTTGGATTTGTTGTGCATAATGTTACTTTAATTCTTGTTATGGATCATGTGTATCCCTATTTCACAGATTGAGGGTTAAGGCACAGAGGCCGAAGTTAACATTAATAGTGTCAGCCTGCCCTGTGTGTCCCAAATCCCCAGCTTTTGGAACTGGCTTTTCAAGGCACTTAAAATTTTGCTTCAGAAATGAAGAACTGTCTGAAGTTCAGTTTTAAGTGATGCAAGTTTATAATTAAGTGATATATGGCATGGGATCTCTGTGGCAGGAACAGTGTAACTTCCAGTTGCTTTAACTGCCACCTTTCTCTTCCTGTGATCCCTTTGTTAGTACTGTCCCATGGTTCCCTTTCTCTTCCAAACCATTTCATATCTAGAACATGATCTTCACCTCAAGGCCACATCACAAAGCAAAACTACCTGAGAGTGAGCCAGCTAGGGGGAATAATGGGTGTTCCTCTAATGCCTGGGAACAAAATCCACAGCTGGTGCTTGAGGATTGTGGTCATTATACCGCAAGGAAAATGTTTTAATTTGAGCTTTTGTTCTGTCATGTTCTCAAGCTGTTTGTAAGTCAACTTTATAGATGTTCTTCAGCAAAGATGCTGAAATCAAGGATATTTTTCCAAAAAAGGGACAACTTTTTATTTCAACAAATGTGTTTTATTTAAAGGGCACCATGAAACACCATTATCTGCCCCTACAAAGATCCTGGAGAAATTCCCAAGCAACTTACCTAAGAAGCCTGAAAATGTGATTCCAGCTGACACTGATAAAGCCACTATTGAAAAGGTTTGTGTTGAGAATAATCATCTTACTGGATGATAGAAGAATACAGAGCAGTAGAAGGAAAGGACTTAGTAGAAGGGGGAAGACTCGGAAGGAAAGCCACATGGAATTACTTCGCATTTTTCTGTGTCAGACTTTCACGCATTTAGCACATAAAATCACTGATGTGATGCCATGTCATTCCTTATTTCACAATTAGGGCTTTCAGCTGCCTTTTTTTCTTTCACATGCAAAACTTTCTTTGACTTTGGTAGGGTTGGAAATCATTAAAAATGATTTAGCAGAAAGACTGGCGTGTAAGTGCTCCATTCCCCATGAAGGTACTGAGCTGACAGCACTCCCTTTGCCTCTTAGGTGATTGATATCGTTGAAGGTTCCTCCACAGAAGTGCCTCCTGATGTTCCAAAGGATATTGAGGAGAAACCTGCTCGGCCTGTCCCTCGGCCAGAGGCTCCTGTGGACTCCATGTTGAAAGATATGGCCACGATCATCCTCAGCACCTTCCTGCTTGTGGGCTGGGTGGCTTTTATCATCGCTTATCCAATGGTAATGCTGACCTAGCTTGGTGGGCTTTTGAGTTTTGGGAGGGTCAATAGCATTTTACAACCCAAGAAATGACATAGGAGTTAGAAAATAACACACTACAGGGGTTTTTTTCTCTCCCCACACAGACTACAAATTTGATGTAACAGGTTTTTTATGTGTTATTCTTTTTATGGACATGTTCTTAACACCCTTAGCTTCACTCCTTTCTTCCTCACTTGTACCACTGTCAGGTTTTCCAGCTTTTGGACTGAAGCCTTCATCCCTCTGTGGTTTAAAGACACCTGGTCACTTTAGAAACAGCTTTTGCCATACTAACCAATCAGTGCAGTTTGTCAGCTTTGCAGTGGCAGTGCAGATGAGTGAAAGCTCCTCAGCTTTTTTGGCTGGTGTAGTGTCATAACAGATTTTCCCCTCACCTTTTGGCTGTAGCTACCCCAATAGCTGTAGAGCTCCCTCTTGTGCTGTGACTGTAAAAACTTCCCTCCACTTATGGAACTGAGGTCCTTTCTCACAGAGTGTCCATCAGCAGCAACAGAGGCAACATCAGCTGGAAGAGAAGATACAGCTTTTGCAGCAACAGTCACTGCCCTTCCGTGCTCCCGGTGAGCTGCCCCCAGAAGCAGATTTCTTGGACACCTCCTATGGACGCACAGAGAGCTCAGCTACCAGCACGCCAAATGTGTCCCCTCGAGCATCAAACCATTCTGCCTATTCCAGCATCTCCACATCTGATGTTGGGAGCTGCCTCTCCACTGAGCAAGAGGGAGGTAAAGTTGGTCCAGTGTCTTTTATTGTGGGTCTCTGCCCAGGCTGTATGAGAATGCAGCCCAACAATTAAAATACTGATGATAGTGCATAGATCAGAAAGCTGAAAAGGAGCGGCAGTCTCACGTAGCCTGACCGCTTGTGCACATGATGCTGGTGTGCCATGCCCTGACCTTCAGCAGGGTTATTTGCTTTAGAAACTAAACATCCAGGTCATAACTACCAGCTGAAGGATTATATTGTGTTGGTGGCAGTTTAGTCTTGCAACATGTAGCCACTCCAGGGAGAGGTTCGCTTATACAAAAATACATATCATTATGATTAACTGGAATCAAGAAAGAAGGATTGTGCAGCACGGCCTGCCTTCCTGCCTGATCTTCTTGTGCAAATCAGGGGAACTGCTGGTAAACCCACTGCCATAATGGTCAGCAGCATTTCCTAAACTGGACAAGACGGCTGTAAAACCTCCTAGAAAGGGTTTGTCTCCTGAGAACCACCCATCTCTTATACCATCTCAAGACATTATCAGGCGTTGTGTACAGAGTGTATTTGACACTGGATGTTAGACCATTTGGTCACCAGAGTATTTGCCTGCTCAGTGTGAGTACCAAAATGGAGATGTTTAATCTGTTTTGATCATCTGTGCTGGTCATTTAAACATGAGCCGTCTGAAACCAGTTCCTGTTTCTTGGGTTTTTTTTCAGATGAAGATGCAAACAGAGTGATGGTTGGCAAGATTTCATTTAACCCCAAAGATGTACTGGGGCATGGAGCTGAAGGGACAATCGTTTACAGGTAGGAGACAATATGTGCATTCAGCATTATAGACCAATAAATGTCTTATTTGCATTAGGTTTTTTTTTAAAATAAAATATCCTCATGTATCTCATAGGAACAAACATGAAACTGTTAAAGTATTTTGCATGTGTCTGGAATATTTCCATGCAATGACTGTACTTCCCTTAGAAATGTTTAATGACCAAACATATCTGTTTCCAGCATGAGAAATGCTTTAATGTGCCTCTGTAAACACCTGTTGTCACTGGCTTTGAACTTGCCATGTCTACAGAAAGTGCAAAGGGTGCTGTGGCTTTCCTTCCTGCTGCAGGGGCACCTTTGATAACCGTGATGTTGCAGTGAAAAGAATTCTTCCCGAGTGCTTCAGCTTTGCAGACCGTGAAGTGCAGCTGCTGCGGGAGTCGGATGAGCATCCCAATGTGATCCGCTACTTCTGCACGGAGAAGGACCGGCAGTTCCAGTACATCGCCATCGAGCTGTGTGCTGCCACCTTACAGGAGGTGAGAATTTGTGACAGCCCTCTCCTGGAAGGCCTTCTGTTTCCTTTAGCTTTGGTTGCTGAAGTGCCTGCTTCAGGAGACGTTCCAGTTACTCCTGCCATGGCCTCTGTGACAATTACACGTTCTTACAACAGGGGTGTTTTCAGATCTGTAGAAAGACACTCTTCTACTCATCCTCCCCCTCCTACCAGACAGCCTTTGAAGACTCTTGCTTCTGGAGCACAGGTCTATACAGAATTCTAGTCTGAATGACATTTTAGACAGCATCACCTTCAGCCAAGTGTGAAGGGTTCTTTTCCATGTGTTACTAGTTAGCACAAGTTACCCAATCTTTCTTTTTTTTTCCCCGAGGGGTGTGAGCAGTATGGACTTAATATTAATGCAGAGGGTAACAATAAGCAATTCTGTGGCTCAGTCTCCTGGTTTTATGTTGTTATTTATAGTACGTTGAGCAGAAGGCCTTCAGTCACCATGGCTTGCAACCCATCACTCTCCTGCAGCAGACAACGTCTGGTCTTGCTTACCTGCACTCCCTCAGCATTGGTAAGAACACCTCTTGTTCCAGTACTAGATGGGGAGTGGTATTTTTTATTAAGAGAAACTGGTCTGGTGCTGGGAGCTTGTTTATTCAAGCCCGAAGAGTATTGCAGAAGCTCCACTTACTGCTGGCAGCAGTCATGTCTATCCTCAGACACTGCCCTTGTCCTGCAACACTCTGCTGCACAGTCAGTACCATTTGTTCAGGGTGCTGCATTTTTTGGATCAGGTCATTAAAACACAATGACTAGTGGTGATGGAATAAAAAATGTGATGAGCCTCTACCAAAGACAATAGTTTGAGGTCAGGACTTTGGTTTAACAAACGGTGGTTCAGCCTGGTGAAAGGTTTTCAATGCAAATACATAAAAAAATTACAAATATTGTTGGGATTGCCTGGAGTGGATAAATGGGTGTTTGTAATAGTCCACAGGGACCTGAAGCCCCATAACATCCTCATCTCGATGCCTAATGCCCATGGGAAAGTCAAAGCCATGATCTCAGACTTCGGCCTGTGCAAGAAGCTGGCAGTGGGCAGGCACAGCTTCAGCCGCCGGTCGGGCGTACCAGGCACCGAAGGGTGGATTGCCCCTGAGATGCTGAGTGAAGACTGCAAAGAGAACCCTGTAAGTGTTCATCTTTCCACCAGGTACCCCGGGAGAAGGCAGCACAACCAGCGGGTGGCACGTGGTTGCAGTCAGACTTTTAAGACACGCAGTACTTGACGCCTGGGCATTCATGCTGGCTTGCAGCTGAATATGTGATTCTGAAAAGTTTTCTTCTGCTCTTAGATGCAAAATAACCAATGATCGAAGTCTTCAGGGGAAAAACAATGTGTTATTGCTATTAAAGGTTGTTTATTTGCAGACATATACCGTGGACATCTTTTCAGCTGGCTGTGTCTTTTATTATGTGATATCTGAAGGCAGCCATCCCTTTGGCAAATCGCTGCAGCGGCAAGCCAACATTCTGCTGGGTGCATACAGCCTGGAGTCTTTAAATGCAGGGAGGCATGGTAAGAAAAGCTCAGTAACCATAAAGCACTGCAGCTTTAGTGAACTTCCCCGGGGTGTTTAAATGCTGACAGAAAGGACAGAGCTATGACCCCAGGGATTTCCAGCGTGGCAGTGTTGAAAGTTGTACAGCTGATGTGCTCCTCAAGTAACGCTCTTAAAGTTCATACCCCAAAGCATCTCTGGCTTACACAGCCTGGAACCCTGTGAGCTTTACTGTACAGTTATTTCATGTATTAAAAGGGTAAGAAAGAGCTGAACTTTGATTTCTCACAATCTCACTGACATTGTTGGCAGCACAGCACATCTGTGCAGGCAGTACTTGAGCTTAGTGGGGCTAATGCTCGGGGAGCAGAGAACATAGTTTTCTAAAGTACAAAACGTTACCTTTCCCAACAGCTTGTTGTCACCCTTTTCCTTGCAGAAGACATAGTCGCTCGTGATTTAATAGAGCAAATGATCAGCATGGACCCTCAGAAACGCCCGTCTGCCAGCTGTGTGCTGAAACACCCCTTCTTTTGGAGCCTAGAAAAACAGCTCCAGTTTTTTCAGGTTTGTGTTGACCTTTTCTATCCTTTCAGTCATAGAGATGCCTGTAGGCATCTTATGCATGTCTTGAATTCAGGCTCTCCTGGCTTCGTGGATGTTTGAGGTGATGGAATCCCCAATTTTACTATAAGGAATAAAGAAGTAAAGGTGTAATAGCCAGGTGGTATCATGTTTTACTCTGTGATGAAAAGGCTTTGGCAGCATCATCCCAGAAACTTCTGTGTCCCAGTCTCAAGCATAACATTACCTGTTATCATGAAGTAGAATCATAGCCCCATTATCAGGACAATTTTAAACTGTTGGGAAAAGCTTGGAAATAAAACTAGAACTAACCTGAATGTCTCTTCCAGGATGTTAGTGACCGGATAGAGAAAGAAACTTTAGATGGTCCGATCGTCAAGCAGCTAGAAAGAGGTGGAAGAGAAGTGGTGAAACTGGACTGGAGAGAGCACATCACTGTCCCTCTTCAGACAGGTAACGACCCTTTAAAATGAAGCTGACAATAAAGTATTGATTACATATAGAAACACATCCATGTGTGCATGTGACTGTGGGCAGACAGATCTGACTTTCGAAGCCAGCAACTAAAACTGCACCAAAGCACAAGAAGAAATCCTGTCGTTTCTTCTGCAGATCTTCGAAAATTCAGATCCTACAAAGGAGGCTCCGTGCGGGATCTTCTGAGGGCAATGAGAAATAAGGTAAAGGACTTCATTCCATAAGCAACACACACACTACGGTTCTGCCTCCGTTTGCTGTCAGTCTGTCTGTCTTACCTTCATTTAGGTATTGAGCTCCTTTACAGTCACTAGTAGGAGGTTACTTTGTCTATGGGAGACAGCTCTATTTAAAGAGGATCTGTGAACACAGACCCTCTGACACCCTCTGCCTTTCTCTTTTTCCCATACAGAAGCACCATTACAGAGAACTGCCTCCCGAAGTGCAAGAGACCCTGGGCTCCATCCCAGATGATTTTGTATGTTACTTTACAGCTCGTTTCCCTCACCTGCTCCTACACACCTACTGTGCTATGCATATCTGCTGCCATGAAAGACTGTTTCAGCATTACTATAGTCAGGACTCTGCAGAACTGAGCCTTGCAGGAGACACTGTTTGAGAGGAGGGAGATGGAACTTTCTTCTCTGGGACCAACATTCCAAGCACAGGGCTGTGACACAGGCCTACCTTTAGCAGGGAAAAGAGGGATCAAAGAGCTGAATTCTCTCTCTTTGAAGAAACTAAGCTTCCAAAAAGTGCCTTGTACCTCTGCCTGCGCTGGACCAGGAGATGGTGGGAGCCCAAGGAGCGAGTGGTAACTTCAGAAAAGCAATGAACCCTGGTGATGGAGTTATTCTCAAGATGGTGAAAAGGGAGAGCAAAAGCTGGATATAACCATCACCCAATATCCCTGTACTGTTTGTGATTTTATAACTAACTGATGTGTTTTACTACAAAGAATCAGAGTGATTGAAATCATAGCATTGCTGGGGACTGGGATCTGCAGAAGGAGCCTTTTAGTTGTAGCAAATCACCAGAACCTGCCATTGCACTACTGCCACCTTACGCATTAGGCGCACACCACAGTGATCATAAAGGGTTATGATTATCCAAAACCAGCAGAGAGAGTACAATTTCTGCTTGATCAGTACTAACCTGGAAAGTCAAGTCCCTCATAGCTGAGCAGATACGATGATCCGTTAAAGGCTTACCTTTGAAAATAAGCCTCATTGCTTAAATATCAACCAGTATTTACAGAACAGCTTGAACTTGACTTAAATCCCAGTATCAGAACAGATCTAGGCAGTGACATTAAAGCAATACACTGCTGCCAGCCGTGAGCTGCTCACGAGTGGCTAATCCTGATTTACCCACAGAGAGTGTCCTTCCGGGCCTGTGAAGCAGGAGCACCAGAGCCAGAGGTAAGATGAGTCCTGGGGAAAAAGGAGCTAAATAGGAAACAAGGAGATGTGCAGCACAGCAAAAGCAGAGGCCCTGGTTTTAACTGGGCGTGATAAAGCTGTAAAAGAACCCCCTGTTTCGTGTTTGTAGGGGTTGCAGATTGCATCAAGCCTCTGGTTTTCAAAGATGCAGTATTTCTTTTTCATTGGCCCAAAAGCTGTGACAAAGCATTAATCGTGTGCAAAGGAGGAAGAAATGCTGAATTCTAATGGAAGTGGGGTGTTCTTTTACAATATATTTATTTAACATATTTATATTTATTTAATTTTTATTACAAAGTGGTATCAGATCCAAGAGGTACAAGTACAGAGCATGCCAAATCAGTCTTAATAGGGTTTGTGTTGATACTTAATCATGTTATAACTGGAAGAGGAAAGGGATACTGCATCTTTCAGTGGAATTCATTAAAGGAGAAATTACAAAGCGGGCATTTGAACGACAGAGCTGTTGTGTCTTAAACTTATAAATACTTGACAGTGTGTACTGTACATATGGACAGTATGACTGGGTACGTACAGCTACGTTATGGGAAGTTTCTTTCCTCATTTCACAATGTACAAGATGCCAATGGTGTGAGTTACCTGTTTCTACAGTTTGAAGCAAACCAATGGTAGTTTTACCTAGGAAGAGTCAAAGCCTATTTCATATTTTTGTACTCCTCGTGTAAAGCTCTTTTGTAAGACTACTAAATAAAGACTCGTACTCGGATTGGAAAAAAGCAGCCTGCTGCTGTCAGTGCTGGGCTGTGCCCACAGCAATGAGCCCCTGCGGCACGTGCGGCCAGCGCGGCTTCGGAACCAGGCCTGGAGACAGCTGCGGGGGAAGGAGGTAAGAATGTGCCACTGGGGCCTGACGGACCAGGGCCTGCCCTGAGGGCCAGACTGAGAGCCAGAGCCAGGGGCTGCTGCAGGAACCTGCACACAAACATGCACTGACACACACACACAGAGGGACAAATGGACAGAGACACACACAGAGATGAAGGGGGGAGGGGGGGAGAGGCAGAGGGACAATGGGCAGACAATGAACTGAGGGACAGATGGAGAGAGACAGAATGACGGGTTGTGGGGAAAAGAGAAAGGCAGACTAAGGGGCGGATGGACTGACTGTCTGTCCATCCCTCTGTCTGTGTGTCCTTCGGTCAGTCTTTCTGTCCATTGGTCTGTCTGTCCCTCCGTCCATCCCTCTGTCCATTGGTCAGTCTGTATGTGTGTTCATCCATCTCTCTGCTAGTCTGTTTGTCCCTCTGTCCAACTGTCAGTCTGTCTGCCCAGCTCTCTCTCCATCTGTCAGCCTGTCTCTGTCTCCCCATCCCTCTGTCCGTCCTTCTCTCCCTATTTCTGTCCATGTTTTGTCGGTTTGTCCATCCATCAGTCTCTCCATTTGTACATCTGTCTGTCTCTGTCTCAGTCCGTCTGTCCGTCCTTCTCTCTGTCCATCTGTCCTTCTGTCTGTCCATCATCTGTCCATCTGTCTGTTGTGTGTCCATCTCTCCATCACTGGCTGTCTGCTGATTTGTCTGTCTACCCCTCTCTCTGTCCATCTGTCGGACGGGCAGACAAGCAGCTGGACAGACAGACAGACTGACAGACACATTGGCACACAGATGGACAGACGGGTGGGAAGGATGACACACAGACAACGCACAGAGGATGGACAGACAGATAAACAGGCAGATGAAGGGATAGAAAGATGGACAGAGAGAGGAACAGAGGGACCGACAGAGACAGAGGGACAGACAGAGAGAGAGAATAACGGACACAGAAATGGGGAGATGGATGGACTGACAGATGGGCCCACAGACAAAGAGCCGGAATGACAAACAGACAGATGGATGGAAAGACGGACAAAAGGCCAAACTGACAAACAAACTAACAGAAAGGATACACAGAAAGACAGACGGACGGACAGACAGACAAGCAACCAGAGACGGACAGAGAGAAAGATGGACAGACATCTGGCTGAAAGAGACAGAAGGACAGACAGACTGACAGAGATGGACTGATGGACAGAAGGACAGACAGAAAAACTGACAAAAGGACGGAAAGAGGGATGGAGAGAAGCATAGATGGATGGATAAATGGACGGAGAGGAGGGCAGACGGACGGAGAGACGGAC